GAAGACAAGATTATGGGCAGCATGGGGAGGCTATGAGGGTATGTGTTTGCAAATCTAACAGCAGGAAGATGCTGAGGTAAGTCACTGTATGCTAACTGAAGTGCAGTGGTTGCAAGAGGGCAGTTCTGGTATGAAAAGGTTAAAAAAGCAAACAGATGTGATGAGACATGACATGCTTGGTAATCTGAAGAAAAGGGAGCTGGTGGGGAAATGTAAAGAAAAAGCTGACACAGTCTAGCAAGGTATGAAGAAAAGACCCTTAGAAAGTTCTTGGTGGATGTTGAATCAAAACAGAAATAGAGAATTTGCCATAGGTTGAAGTGGATATTAAGCAACCTGCATCAAAAGGGCGGTGATTTGTATTTCTGCCTGAGATTAAGAAATGACAAGGCGTAGAGGAAGTAAAGAGGATAATACAGATGCTGCTGGGAACTACTGTGATAATTCCCCTATTGTGGATTACTGGCAAAACCTGAAGCCAGAGCCCTCAGCATTTGCATGCTAAACGAATGCTGCTTGACTTCAGATGCTTGACCACCACAGCCATGTGAGTACAGAATGGAACCAGTTGGTCTATGGAAGTAAAAAATCCTAATGCCCCAAGCATGGGCAGTGACTTGGGGATGCTCTGTGCAGACTTAGGGAGCAGCCATGCCTGTGTCCTGTCCATAGGGTTTCTGTTCTGGTTAGGGCCTGAGAAGTGAACTTCAAGGAGCAAAACATTTGAAGGGGAACTTGACCCAGTCCAGCTGCATTTCCTGTAGTATCTGCCTCTGCTCTGCAAGACCCTGCTATAAAAAACTCATACCGAAGAGTCATTTGTATACTTTATTTTTTTAGTGTGAAATTTTTCTGCCAAATTTTCCTTGGGAGCATAAACTGGAAAAGTTTTGGGTACAGCTGGATAGTACAAAAGCCACAATTTATATCTTATCAAACTCAAGAAGGAATTTCGTGGACCAAGTAAAAAGACAGATGTGCAAGGCTGGGGCTTTGTTCCAGCTGAATTTCAAGGGTTGTGTATAAGTGTAAGTATGATAGCTTCTCACAAAAAAAGACTCAGTTTTGTGTACTGGAATTGTCACTGAGCTCTACTCTAAAGCCAGCATCATAAGTACTCGTAATGCTCTAACACACCCAGTAGCCCAGCTCATACTGGGACCCTGTTGCTCTTGGCACTTGTCACACAGGGTGAGAAACAAAAGCTTCTCCTGATACATTGCACACAGCATGGAATGAACAAGTGTGCTGCTGGCGTGTCCCAGTTCAAAGAGCAAGCCAGTGGAATTCCAGGGACTTAGAGCACACCTGATTATGGGGATTTTCTATTTGTATCTCTTAGGGTTTTAAGCACATCTATGGACCCTAACATGTGTATTTCCCCCAGTCTGCTGCTGGTGACCTGTTGTATACCTCTACATATCCTAAGACAGAGGGAAGTCATGACAAGCTTAGCCTGTTTCACTTGGTGAGGGCCACCCCATGGTCTATCCCAACAGCTTCCTCCTGCTCAGCAGCCCTTCACAGACTGCTTCACCATGCTGGCTTAGTTGCCCAAAATACTTTCTTAGGATGCAATTTACTCCTATTTTCTTCAGTGTTTTGTTTATGGGGTCTTTTTCTTTTTCTTTTCTTTTTCCTCAAAGGAAAACCCCTAAATATTGCAGTGTCATTTATAGAATTCCTCCTTCTCTTTCTTATTTTCTCTGATTTCCCTTGCTGCGTGTCTTTGGGTCTAGACTGGATACTTATCCAGGAAAATGCTGGAAACATCGCCTGTAAAGTAGTCACAGACCACTGTAAAATGTGAGGGAACAATGAAGGTGTCTGGACTTGCTTCTTCTCTTATACAAAGATCTTTCAAACAAATAGCCTTGAGAATTTTGTTACATTTCAGTCCTGTATGGAGCCCTAAAGTAACCCCCATAAAAATATAGCTTCTGCTTTAGTGGCTCTCCCAACACTGATTTTCTTATTAATCTCCCTAGCAATACTTACAAAAATGCTTGACTGTGGTTACGCAGATTGTCTGATGTGATCACTAGCAATTATGCTAATCACAGTCTTCTCACAGTTCTTTCCCATCTGTTTTATCCACCTATGGATACTTAGAGTGATATAAATGATAAGAGAGGCTCTGATCACATCATGCTTTCATTTACTAGTTGATGTTTGACCAAAAATTTTGCATATATAGACTAGGTAGATGACAAGGAGTGAGAAAAAAGAAGTTGCAGACTACTGCCATTTTCTATGGAAGAGGAATAAATAACTTTCCAGGGATGCCTGTGGCAGAGCTGTAGATCTGTGGCAAGCCTTTGGAAAACCTCTGCATGCAGGAATGAAGCCATGTAGGCTGAGCATCACTTAAAGGGAGTTTGGGTGGGAATACAGCCTCTGTGCTGTCATTTACTGAAACTGGAGAAAGAGGAATGCAAGGGCAAGGAGCAGATTTTGTTTGCCTGACCCTCTGATGTCATTGGCTGTAGGTGGAGGATAATAAAACATTTTCTTTGCTGAAGAACTGCAGTTTGCCTAGTGCAACTGGGTTAGTGAAGACACACACTATTCAAAATGCCAGCCTTGAAGAGAGAGGCAGTGCAGCTGGCACCTACCCCTGAAAACAAAGGCAGAAAGGATCCTTTTTCCTACAGGGAGATCTTGGTGATCCTCCACTCTACAGCATTGCTTCTGCAGCCCCAGTGACAGTGCTGCCTATCAGCATCTGGGGAGAGAACAGGATGACCAACAGGGCATGTAGCTGTGATGTGTCTAAAATTGTTAATGTCAGGGCAGTAAAGCCTGTTTTGTGGGAGGAGGCTGAAGACTCTGCAGTGGCATTTTGGCCTGAAGGTCCAGACTGGTGAGAGCTGCATCCCTGATTACTTATATGGGGACTGCAGAGAAGGGGTACAACAGGACTAGATAAGAGAACAACATATTTTTGGGTGGTAAAGTATATCCTCTCAAAAGCTCTTGGCAGCTGAAAAGAGCTCTGTGCTTTTGCACCTCAATGCCTCACTAACCTCTGATGCGACAATGAAAGAGATCTCAAAGAGGCATTTGTTTGTAGGATATTGCACTGCTTCAGGAAACTGAAGCAAAGGTTTATGACATGAATTGCTGTGGTGAATGGCAGTAACTTGTTTGGAAAGTAATGGCCTGCTCCTTTTTCCCCTTCATAAATTTTTCCTATCTTTATGGGGAGACTTAGTGCTTGGGAGAAATGAAGTGTAGCCAGTAAAGCCTGGACAAGGAAAACTGCTGGAGTTTCCAGGTGGAGATGGGATCTGCTGCAAAGTTTGATCCTTAGTATGTCAAAAGTGTCTCAAATCCATGAAAAATGCTTTAGTACCTATTTTTCATTACATTTGACTGCGCTCAAATGATGAACTTCTTGAAACAGGAAATGTGTTTTCATTATGTGTATGGACACACCTATCAGAGTGGGGCCCCAGCTCTGAACTGAGGGTGTAGATGCTACCTTGATAAATGACAATTACTTTTCTGAGAAACTTGGATTAATCTTGGACACAAAAAAAAATGCAGCAGCATTCACTTGGAGATCATTTGTGGCCATTGGAGAGAAGATCATGCTTTGGTGGAATATTACCTGTCAGAAAAGAACCCCTAGACCAAGAATCTTTCAGGGCTTTATATGACATTCAGTAAAATCATATCCGTCAGGAGATGCTTTCCTGCAGCAGATCCAGGTCCGTGTCCCATTTCCGGCTAATACAACACACAATGGGACTACAGATTTTGAAAGAAATAAATTCTTTCCAAGCAGTTGTCGAAACTGTTGAGTCTAGGGAAATATATAGAGATGGATGGGATATGTCATTCTTAGAGGGATGAGTTATTTAAAGCTAGTCTGGGGTATGCTATTCTTAAAGGAATGAGGTATTTATTAACAGACTTACATATTCCTGTAATGATTCCAGTGAGAACAATGAAAATTGTGACTGAGTAAACATAAATTTAGAGTTTAAAGTTAACTTAAGCTCGCAATTTTCAAAAGCACTTAATGCTGACCTAACTCTGAGCTCTTCAAAGTCAGTGGAAGTTTTATGCCTTGTGTCAGTAGAAAGAAAATTACTCTGATGGACAAAGCTTCTGAATTCATGCTCTAAATTGACAAATGCATACTTTCCCTACATTTCTGATATACCCCGACAGATACATATTATTCTAAGAATGGGATTTTTCAAATAAGTCTGATACTTCCCTTAAGAGTAATGGAATTTGAAAAAAAAAAAAAGAAATCTTAAACCTCTTTATGGTAAGGAATATGTCTTTTGCGTCTTACAAAGAGCTTATGGCACCAAAGCTTTAACATAAATAATTTAAAACTAACAGTGTTTTCAAATTAATTTGTTAAATGCCTAACTATATATTTAAGTCATTGCATATCATATATAGTCTTAAAATAGTGTCTGAGTATTTATAACAAGCCTTAAGATACTCAGCTGATAGTTAAATCCATAACATATGCCCCACCTGGAAAATATGGCCCTGAAATAGCTGTTTGAAATTAAATTTCCATGTGAAGTCTGCATATTTTGGGCCTCATCTCCACCTGGAATACTAAGATTAATTTCTTTGAGAGTTAACTCTCTTACCCCAGCTGAGCATTGCATCCCAAACTTGTTTTTGTCCTTCTGGTTAGCTGTGATTTTTAGAAAGGCTTGATTGTGCTTGGTCAGTGAGCACTGGGAAATATGTAAGATACAGAGTGAAACCACAGTGGCTTTAAGGGGAAACTTGTGAGTGAAATCTTAGTGCTCAGAAAGTCAATTGGAGTTTTGCCACTGATTGACATGGGGTCAGGATTTTATTACTTAACTTCTCTAATGTCTTTACTTTTGATGACTTGCTATCTAAGTCTTTATGATACACTAATGCTAATTTATATGTTCTGAAGATACAGTGCCTAGTAAAATGTAAGATGTAAACCTAGTACAAACCTCTAGTGTGTGTTTCTGTTCTGTCTTCTTCAGGCATTAAAGGATGTGTCTTTTTGGCTACTGCTCTGCTGGAGCTGAAACTTTCCCAAAACTCACAGCTAAGCAGTTCAGTGTGTGTTGCATGGGACAGCTACAGAATTCCAATTACTGCAATGGTGAGTAGCACTGAGACATGTAATCCTCAAATTTAAGTCATTAAAGAAGCTGTAAATGCACCCGGGAGCATTCAGAACATAAACCAAACACATTTAAATATAAATATAGAAAAAGACCTTCAGGCCACAATACTCTCTGTCAGAGGCACTCTCTGTCAGAGGTATTATTTGGTATTTGTTTAGTGTATCAGAATGATTTGCAAAATGAGAATTACAGCCCTATTTTATTAGGCATTATAAAGTGCTTGCAGACAGACTCTCAGAAATGTAAGATATGTATGCTGAGAAAGCTGCTGCTGAAAGCACGATAAAGGAGGGACAGAAGCATTCAGTGCAGTTCTTGCATGTGTGTGTTTTTCTTATACACTACTCAAGCAAAGATCAGACATCCTGATTTATCCTTTAACCTGCTCATCAACCAGCTAATTTTCTACAGTGTCTGTAGCAGAAATAAGTCTTGAGAAGGGATTTGGGGGAAGATTTAAAGACGGATTTGAAACATTTGGCCACTGGTTGGTCAAATTTTCAATTACTGACAGTTGACCTGTGACTTCTAGCACTGTGCTCACAAGAGGTTCAGATTAGATTTTTTTTTTAAACCAGAGGCATGACTATGGTTTTGAATATAGATATAACTATGGTTTTGTTATATACATATGTATTATACAGTGTAACTTGATATTTATGCTGGTCAGTAGTAATCTATTGACATGAATTTAAATGAGATTATTATATGTTGGATATGCCACTAAATCCCCACAGTGAGGCAAGAGCTCTGTGAACACTGCATGTAGCTGTACAGATACTTGGGTTTAGCTGAGTGATTAGTGTTATTATAATGTCATCTCTTCTGTGAAAATTATAACATTAATAATAATTTGTCTTTGCTGCTATCACCACAGCATTTTTTAAAACAAAAATATAGATTCTTTTCCTGGTTGTAGTTTCTCAACTAAAAACCAGATATCTTTGAACTTATAAGCTATGTAGTGTTATTACTTGTGTTGCAGCTTTAGCCAGGATTCTTTGCAGTGTTCTTTCTGTGTGAGACAAATAGAGAAATGACGAAGTTTGTTTAGAAAGCCTTGTAAGCATTTCCCCTCTTGTGGGGTATGCTTTTCTTTTGCAGTGTTTTCTTGATTTACTGAATTTGTGTCCTATGTGATGAGTTGACAGCAGTTAGGTTCTTTGATTGTGCTTTATTTTAAGATTTTTTCACTTGCAGCCAATGAAAGCTGAATTGAACACTTTGAAATTCTAAATGCATTTTTTTTATTATCATGGTTATGGTTGAAGCTGTTTTGTTTCAAATGCCAAAGCCTTGTGGCCTAGGAAAATGCTACTGATCTTTCCAAACCCGTGTAGTGATGCCAAGTATAAGGACCAACTTGTGGGCAGTAAATGCAGCAATTTCTCCCAGAATTGCTCAGCATTAGGTGCAGAGATATTTACTCTTGTATGGCTGAAGATGCAAAACAACAGAAGCCGGGTTATGCCTTCAAACTGTAACCAGATAAGGGACTCTTCACATCATCTGCCTTCTAGACATGTCTCCCCTCTGTTTCCAAACTCACCTTACTCAAAGGCAAACTTATGGAAGAGGAACCTAATCACAAGCTTCATTAAATGCTGTGCCATAGCAGGCAAGTGAATAAGCAGGGTTCAGAATGGGTTTTTTCGGCTGAAAACCGTATGTGCTGATTGCAACTTTGTTAAATACATAAATAACTGGAGCCCTTCCAATCAGAGCTAGCCAAACCTTTTAATCATATACAGAAGTGTTCCTCGTGACATAATTATGCTATCCAGACTCCTTCCCTCATTGGGAAATATTCTGTCAAACAGTAAAATAATTAACATGGATTTTAAAATCGGCATTGACATTCTAATGTCTAATTAGGTAATTGTCATTGGCACAGCAATACCTATTAGGAGCATGCAATTTGTGGAAGGGGTTTTGATGGAACAGACTGCAGGTGCAGATGGTCTAACAGCAGGACTCTTACCCGATGTAAACAAAGGTATTTTAATTAGCCATGTGACCCTGATCATTGTTAAAAGGTAAGGGCTGCGCATTCATCTTCCCACCAGCTACTTCCTGGTCCTTTCAAGGGGAATGTTGAAATATCTTGACCTGTGGTAAATTATGTACAGATTTGATTGAAATTCTCTTCAAATCTAATTATTGTTTCATTCGGCTTCTGGCAACATTAGCGCTATATTGCAGTTGGCTCAGAAGTCTTACCTTCTTGCTGGGCTATTTTTGGTTTGTAGATCTCAGTTGCTAACCTACACAAAGATACCAACTTTTGCTTGGTATACTAGGGAAGACTTCCAAGATGTTGGGGTTTAGTTTTCAGCCAGTGCATGCTAGAACTACTTAAAAATGTGCAAAGACCTGAATTGTATAAAATTATAAAAATCCCTTGCTGGTGAGTCTGCATGTAACTCAGCACTCTTAGCTGAATGAAAATTAGTTGGGAGAACAGGAATGGCCACACAGCCTCAGCAGCAGTGAATAACCTTGAAGTTTAGGAACACAAGAGACTTGATCATCTCCCCATTCTGTTTGTATCAGCTGTGGTAGAAGATCTGTGTATGTTAAATGGTCCAGAACAGAGGCTGCACCTGGTATCGGGACCGAAACTTCATGGAAACTTTGTGCATTTCAGTTTTCTTATTACTGCAAAGTAAACAAGTAGGGAAAAAAAAAAAAGGAAGTAAAGGAAAAGCACTTCTGTAATTTTTTTTCTGCAGACTTTTATTTTGCCTAAATTGTATTACAGTTCTTAATTTAAGAGTATATTTTTCTAATATACTTTGGCCTTAATCATGTTCAGATTTTTTTGCACTTAATCGCATAAAACAGTCACATATGCTTCACTGCAGTGATGTTGTTCTAGTAATGAATTGGAATTGTTCTTATGAGCAAAAAAAATGAAGTATTTGTAGAATTGGGGCCTTAAGTTGTACATTACTTAGTGCAGGGTCTGTCTCTGAGGTATGTTTTCTGCAGTGTTTAGCTCAATGAATTGCAGATTACTGAGAGCTGCAGAGCTGATATTCAAATACAGTGAAAGGAACATATCTATATATCTTCCCTCTCTCTCTGTTTATTAGAATCTGTGGGTGCTATGACAAGGGACAAGCTCTGGCTGACAAAGCTCTCAGCTTGGCTATTTAATAAACATCTAATAAAAGTTTGCTAGGATGAGTCTAGGCCATTCTGAGAACTGGTTTAAAGTGTGTGTGTGTGTTGATTTTTAGGATTTACAAAAATACAAACTGTAAATATTTTGATTATAAATAATTATATTACCAAAGTTCTTCATATTCTCAACCAGCTGAGATGCATGAGAACCCGGCAAATACACTTTTTTGAAGACAGCTGCAATTGCTGCTCAGGCTTATTATTTCTTTGGCGTATGAGAATTCAAACAATTTTTTTCCCACTTATTTGATTTGCTACTGGTTTTGGGGTGGGAGGATCTCTGGGGTGCTGAAGCATAGGGTGCATCTTAGTTATTTCATGAGGGACTTTCCCATCCTATGGCTTTATAAATGATGCCAGACAGAATCTCTGATGAAATTTATGATGGTCTTTTGACATTGTGTTCAGATTCCTCCAGAGCTATAAAATGAAGAATCTATATTCCTGACACAGGTGATAAGTGCAATAGTTTTGGCATTTTTTGGAGCTATCGAATCCAAGCACAAAAATATTTATTTGATTAGTGGTGAAAGATAAACTTTTGTTGAAGGTTAAACATCTTTGGGAAAAACCTTTCATTTTGAGAATTGCATGGGATATGTCACTGCTTTCCAATCAATGTGAGTTTTTCCACTTCTCTCAAGCAAGTGCTATAGAGACCTTATTGTTTGAGTGTGAAATAATGTACACTTGTTAGTTAATGTGTTCAACCACCATGAGATAATCCTCAGGTGACATGATGACCGTCTGTGCTTCAAAATAAATAAATAAAAGCTAGAAAGAATACAAATGATAAACACACATTATATCTTGCCTACTGATGCTGGGGTTTAATTATGGGGGACAATTACCTACCATAGCCAAAGGATTCGCACATTAATAACATTATATAGGGATAATGTCTTTCTAAGCTGCTATAGCATTTAAAAGCTGGTACTTATGTTGCAATCCAGATTCCGTCTACCCGTCAGTCCTGTCTGGATTATTGCTACATTATGTAATGTGGTCTCTTGTGGTTTTTTTACTGTGTAATTAACATGTGGATTTGACTTATCCAGTCCACTCTAATAAACCATCCTTAATGAGTGAAATAATAATAATGATAATAATAAATCCTACATGATTTCTGAGCTTCCCTGTAACTCTTGCTAAGACATTTGTATTTAAGCAACATGAAAGCTCAATTAAATATATACATATCTAATTCTAATTCATGTGCAGTAGTCTTCTGAGAACTTTTCTCTGGTTTTATCCAGGAAAAAACTAACTGCTTTGGAAGGGTAGAGTAAATAGACAAACTTTCTAACTCTGCATTCCCTGCTGCTCCTTAGTCCTGCACTTTCACAGAGGAGAGATACACTAAAACCCGTCAAAACTTAATCTCTTGCATATCCTTCTTAAATATTGTGTTTTGTGCTCTTCCCACTGTAAAATCTGTTACTGATCTCTCCTAGGAATGAGTGAAGGATTTGTGACAATATTACAAAAGCACAGGTAATTAGAAAATCACAGAAATCCTGCTGGTTTCCTTTTTTATTTTATTTTTTTAACTTTTGTAAAGGTACTGCTTTTTGTGTCATTTTTAGCACACTCATTGAATGAATGGAGTTTATTCTAGAAACAATATGACTTCAGTGGGGGTCAGTTTTCAGCAGAGGAAGACAAATCAGTGGCTTGATTTAATGATAGTTGTTAATTTTCAAAAGCTTTGGGGGGAAAAAGAGCCATAACTTACTCATAAAGAAATAATTCCTAAGAGTTGAGCACTTTCTTTTGCATATAGTGCAGG